CACACAGACTGTGAGTCATCGGATCCACTCTGGCAATAAAGAGCTCTTCTGAATTCAGATCGGTGTAGGAGTCCTTGTCTCAAATACAGGTAACCGCGTGGGTCACGCCAACGGTGAACATGTATCCACTTTTGTTTAAGGCTGTATGCGATGCCCACTATGGCATTACCACAACTTGTCTGTAAATACCTAACTTCCGTCTGTCCTTTGCGCAGTTATGTTGTCACTTGGATGGGCGCGATTGTCTAGGAAACCTTACTTAAAATCGTGGTAAAGCACATTAGAGTCATTGGAGTTGTGTGTAAGGGGAACTTACGAGACATTCGCGTCCAACTTCAACCTAGTCTCCATACTAACAGACGAAGAGCCCCAATTTTCCTAGAGTCACCCGTAATACGCTAGTGCATATTCTAACTCCATGACCAGAACGGCTTAGTGACCGAAGGCGTTCCTCCCTTGCGTGGTCGTTAGCTTCATTTGTATGCCATCCGCAGCAGCTCGATGACTTGGGTGCAGCGGCTTCCTTTAAGATCCGAACTGTCCCGAGTTTGCATTACGTTTTTGTGGTCCTAACGACGAATGCAACGGAGATCTAAGCAGGTATTGTGCGCTCGCAACAGACGAGCTCAGCGATAGGCTTTCGAGACGCGAGTTTGGTCAACAGTAGTCCTTGTAAAACGCTAGCTGACTCATTTAGCCACTCACGATAAAGGTTGGTACGCGATTCAAGACCGCTGATTGAACTAGTCCATCATCCTGACACGGTTTGCCACGGCACAAGTGTGAACACGTGGCTACATCCAGAAAGTGGAGGTTGTTAACACGTTTGGACGTGTCTAGACGCATGACGTCAATCGGCTCAGCTGCGCACAGTCGGAAGTGAGAACATGTAACCTAGAAATTTAACCATGCTCTGTCCCTAACGCACATCCGGCTAACAGGTATCGTCTTCTGTTTTACCCCGCTTAGGGTTGGCGGCGCCCCAGACCAAAAGAGAAGAGGCAATAAAGCATTACGGCAGCAGGTCATGCAGTGCACTGTTTGGAACGGGAAACATCCACTAGTTATCCACTCGCCCAGTGACCGAGACTCACTTTTTATATATAACTAAATGGTTGGCAGCATCCCGTTTCAGATTTGCCTGTCACTGTGGCCAGCCACAGGACACCTGCGCCTACAGAGTGACCACGAGTGGCTTGCGCTGCACCACCCACGGCTCCAACTGCACACCCCATATCCAGTGTAAACCCGAAGGAATAAGACCGGGAGGCATGTGGATGGGAGCCGCGTTTTATCAACGGAGCCGGCCCACACTCCTTCACAGGCAAATACAAGGCGTTGGCTGGACCGTGGTCCGCTCCCAACTGAGTGCATGGAACCACTCTTCGAGCCTAGCACGGCCACAAGGATCGTACACCTCATCCCCTCCAGCAACGACCAACTGTCGCTTGGAGCCAGTATGGACGAGGTAGAGGGTATAGACAGGTAGGCACCTCCTCAACATGCACATCAAGCGCAGCCACATCGGGGATATCAAGCAACGGCCAATAACCTGGAACGACAAGATGAAATAAAACAAATACAATAATGCATACATATACGGTAATACAAATTAGCATAGCTAAGTTAGCATATGAAGTAAGTTGGTTAGCAACGAATCCGTGATAAGTATAAAATGTCCACAAGTCCACAAAGGTTACAGACGCAATAAAGTTAACGAAGATAAGCACAATTAGCTTAAGCAACATGTGCAAGTTAATAGAAGAATTTTCAGGTAAGCAGAATAAAGCAAGTAAACTGGAATGAAATTTCCCCAGCTTAAAAGTACCTAGTTTAAGTGTAAGTTGTTTTATAAGTAAGTACATGCGTACGTAATAATCGGGATTACACAGGAGGCACCCAACTGAAGGTGTGGCTGTAATGACTCTCCTAATATAAACTAACGAATAATTTCTGATTGTATGCACGCACGGAAAGTAGCCGACAGAATTCGATTCGTACGGCCCCTAAGAATTAAAAGTCGAACATTGTGTATACGTGCGCTTAGTCGGGCGAGTAGAACGAACGCAGACCCCCCATACGTCTACAGAACTCCGAGAGGGTGGGGAAATGACAAACAAGCCACCCCCAGCAAACGTTTTTGCTGGCCCCACAACGAGCGAAAGCAGCCTCACTTATGTCGCGAGATTGGTGACGTATGTTTTTCTCTCGTAGAACAGCCTGCGAAGACTAAACCGGGCAAGCGAGATGTGAACGAGTGAATTGGTACAATGCGCATGTAATTGGAACGTTTCGGAAAGTGCCGGGTGAATATATATGGTTGGCGGCATCCGGTTTCGGATTTGCCTGTCACTGTGGCAAGCCACAGGACGCCTGCGCCTACAGAGGGACCATGGATGGCTTGCGCTGCACCACCCACAGCTCCAACCACATACCCCAAATCCAGTGTAAACCCGAAGGAATAAGACCGGGAGGCATGCGGATGGGAACCACGTTTCATCAACGGAGCCGGCCCACATTCCTTCACAGGCAAAGACAAGCACACTGTAGTCGGGGAATCAAGCGCACACAAGGCGGTGGCTGGACCGTAGTCCGCTCCACACTGAGTGCATGGAACCACACTTTGATCCTAACACGAAGACCGTGCACCTCGTCCCCTCCAGCAACGAGCAACTGTCTCCTGGAGCCAGTATGGACGAGGTAGTGGTTAATAGACAGGTTGGCACCTTGTCAACATGCACATCAAGCGCATCCACAATATATATATATATATATATATATATATATATATATATATATATATATGTTGCAACAGTCTGTGAAAAGACATAAAACCATCAGAAACCATAGAACACAATAGAAGGTACAGAAATGGTAAAACAAAACATAACACAACACATTAAAGTCCATGGCTCCGTCAGAGGGCGAGATACTACCCGGTTGCCCAAGTCGAAGTAGGGTGTTGACTTAGGGGACACCACCTCTAGCTGAATAGCCGGCCCGCAATGCAGCGGAGCGAATTCAGGGAATCGCGCCCATCGGGTGCCGGTGACTGATTGCTCAGTTCATACGCCTTTTGTTTGTTCTTTTATCAAACAGGAGACCAATGTTCCCCAGAATTATAGCACAAAGTTTCTGGAATACAACGCTTCGCCGGGATGAAGCAAGGGGCAGACTTTATTTAGTGGCGAGTCACACCCGCCACCTCAAAGTGTTGTTAAACGGACATATGTGGCTTTTTATTGGGAGAACGCTTGCCGGGCGAAAACCCACGACGTCCTGGAACACTGCCGCCGAACCATTTGCTGGAACGGGAAAATCCCGAACCATCCAGCTGGCACCACGAGGAGGTTGTTCGGCAAGCCAGGGG